CAAAAAAAAATCAAAATAAACCTAAATTCCCCTATTTTTTTTCTAAAATGACTTCAAATTATAACATGAAACTACATTCGTTTATCCCAAGGAGCTCTACGTTTGTAAGAGTATACATCTATTTATAATTAAATTTTATTGTTTTATTGCCCTTTGAACCATGTCTAACTACTATCCTCACCATTATAAGTTGTAACTCACATGGGGAATGTGCAGCTCATGTTACGCTACCGTATTACATTACCCACGAGCTACTCTTGTTCGTGCCTCGTGAACCATTTTAATTATATTATTATTACTTATTTTACCTAATCTAGTCTTAAATAACTTAAAAAGACCCGTACTATTAGATTTTAGTTACTTTACAATAATTAATAAGGAATAAATATGAAAAACAAGAAATAAAGTACTTACCCAATCTTCTTTTTTCTTGCTCTCGGTTTTGAAGAGAGTTAACCCTAATTTTTTATACTCTAGATAGTAATGCACTTAATAATTTTTCTTTAATTAAATAATGCACTAAAGAATACTGACTAATAACATGCAAAAAGTAGACAAATTCACTTACCTATCAAAATTTTCCTGGCTTTCTAACTATGCGACAAGAGCGATTACAAATTCATCCAAGCTAGTCGTTAACTTTCCCACAGGAACTGTGAGTTAAATTGATGATATTCTACTGAGAATACAATGTTATACAATACATCATTTGATAGATGAAAACCTTGAATTTCTATTGGTTATAGGTAATATATAATGAAACGTAAGAGAGAAATATCAACGAATTGTGAAAGACAGGATGTGACACGTGGGTGTGGCAGGAGGAGTCTGATTTTCCATTTGATAGCTCTGTAACCAAACAAAATTGAAGGCTATAAAAATTATGGTTTGTCTGAGCAATAACACTTTATAGAGAGTATTTTACATTTAATTTCATACATTTTCGAGGTATGATGACATGCTAAGACAAAATGTGTCATGTGGGTCACACTAATGGATATTCAGGATTTTTTTAAATACTGCCTTGTATAATTAAGAACTTAAAACTTGTATACTATTAAAATATGGATTATTAGCTTAGATTCTATGATACTCTAATTGGGATAACATAAACAAAAAACAGTTCAATAAAATATTGAATGCAAGACACTAAAACCTTGTGTCATGAACAATAAATGGTTCTCAGGGTGATAGGGTTAATATGCCCATTTTGGCCTATTGTTTTCTAATATTTTGCCAGGGTTCAGCATTTAACTTATTCTACTGCATACATAAATAGTGTATTATAGAATATTTTGTCTCCATTGTCTGGTCCAGCTGATGAGTTATGATTTCGAATGAAAAGCTTGTTGGACAGTGACTTGTAGAAGACAAAAATAGACTTGAAATGTTATTTTTTTATATACCTCTGATTTTGATCTGCAATAGTTAAATTATAAGAAATATGGAAATAAAAGCCTCTACAGTAAATATGTTTTTATAACATTTTCTAATATTGTTTTAGTTTCCACAGTATAAATGATGGTGTCTATAAAACAGTTTTTAAAGAACTTGCATATAAAATCTGCTCATATATAAACTACAAAACAGTATCAAACTAAAAAATAAAGATATTAAGCTCAGCTGACAGGTAAATACATAAGCAAAATTTATATCTGCATAAAATAAACACTCAAGTATCTTTACATTATTCACATGTAGCAACTTGCCTCAAGGTCATCTTACACAAGCCAGTTTTGATATTCCACACTTTCAATGACTGGTCATAAGAACCACTCACAACTTTTTCATCATCAACCTATTAGCAGAATAAAAGACATAAGAACACCTTGTTTACCATCACCTACTAAGGGAAAGTTAAAAAATAAATAAAATAATATGATGTCACAGTTTGTTCGAAGACATCCATAATCACTTATTAGCCACAAAAAATATAAGAATAAAATAAGCTCATTACACCAGCGAAAGATATACTTTGGTTTGTTACTATTTTAATAACAAACATTTAGCTGATTTTTGTAACATCAATAAAAAGTTTTGTTCATAATTTGTTATTATTTTTTCAAAGTTCACTTTTTAAGACTACAACATAAACAAACATAGACTGACCTGAAGGCAACGGACGGTATCAGTGTGGCCAACCATGGTCACTTTACAAGCAATACTAGACCATGTATGTTGGGTACTTAGATCCCATACCTGTACAAGACAAAAAGATCAGAGTCAACAACCAAGTCTTCTTCCTTAAAGATAAACTATGAACAATACCATTGATACTAGGTAAAAAGTAAGTTGATTAAAACTTCCATACTTTTTTAATAATCATATTCTTTATTCACCATATCAGAAGCATAAATTACAAGTATTAACATTAAATATGTCAATGTAGGATAATTAACTTAAGTATAAAACAAGCTTTTACTAAATTAAAAAAACAGACCTTAAAGAAATACTTCTCACCTTTACAACTACAAATTTTTCTAAATCTAATCAGTTCAAAGGCACAGATATGTTTACAGAAGTGGAAGCTAACTAAAAGTTGATATATTATGTTTTTGTAAAATTATACTTTATTAATGATAATGGTGCAGAGGTTCTACCAGGGTTGGCATTTTAAAATCTTGCCTTGGGCAAAAAAAAAAACCTAAAGCTGGCCTTGGTTGTAAGAGTTACAGAATCTCCTTTGATATTTCTTTTATATGCTTCTAAAGCTTCTTAGCTGCTCATTAACATAAAAGTTTTATTAACTTTCAGATAATCTGGTTGTCAGTACAAGATTTAAACCAGTTAGTTGCCTTTACTCACCTAAGATAATTAATAATGACAATGATTGACATTCAATTGCCACAACCTTACTTTAAATATTTGTTGCACATTCACACATTAAGCTAAATTTATTGAAAATTAAACAGTGATATTAAATAGTCTGTCTCTAGAATTATTGTCATGATCAAACGTTTTAAAATGAAACAAAAGTAATGGTGTGGTGTAAAATTATTACAATCTACATACACAAAATGTGATTGTTATAATGCATATTGAAATCTTTATTACATGTTCTGTTTCCTGAAAACAAAAATCACTTTCTAGAAAAAGAATAAAAATTAAAAAGAGATCCAAGGCATTTTAACTTATTTCTTTTCTGTATTCACTTAAATGCACATACAAAATTTAGTTCTGACAAATATCTAATCATATAATTTAATTCTTTCGTGATTATTTTTACATCTTGGATATAGAATGTACATAACTATAACAAAAATGGTAACAACATTATGATTCAACTAAAAGATTTTATTTCATTATTGGACCAAATTTGAAACCTTATGATACAATTCATCCTTTATTTATAGGTTACAAAACTAGTAAGTTCAAGAAAGTATCCACTATTATGTCCTCTGAAGAACAAAAATTTCTGTTTTTACCTTGATTGTGCAGTCACTAGAGCCACTGACAAGTCGATTTCCCTCCAAGTGTAGACAACGGACAGTACCTGAATGACCGACAAGAGTCATTACTGACCAGGGGCTGTTGGTACGGATATTCCAAACCTACTCCAAATATACAAATTGTGATGGATTTATTATTATATATTTATTTTAATATCAATGTTTGCTTAAATTAAATTTATATTTACAAATGTACACAACTTGTACTATTTACTATGTATTGCAAAACTCTTACGTATTCTCTAAAGTTGTAGAAGTTTCTCGAGTGTAAGAATCAACAATATATGTGTGTAAGTAAACGATAGTGTTAGCGTCAGTATTGTTATATAAAACTGAAATTTCGAGAAACTCTCCACATGCCTATAAATATAACCAATGCGACATGCCAAAAAAAAGAGTATCTATTATTGGTTTGCTATAGTTGGTGTGCTATAAACTTCAAAAGCTGTAACTGTGATTGTTATAATGCTTATTATAAGGAAACTTAAGATATTTGACCAGGAACGTTTATAAATTTCAAAAATTACAAACCATTTAACTTCAGTGGATTCACACCAGACATTAATACTTTATGAAAACATTACCTAGAGTCACCAGTGGAAAAAACTGATGAAGAATACAGCGAGCTAGCTCTCTATTAAGTGAATTGTATCTACGTCAACTCAAAATTAACTTGCTCATTGTGAACCCTCAATAAGACATTCATTTTTTCAGCACAGGCTCGGTCCCTGGGACCAACCTCGTACCCATTTTGTGCTTTTTATAGTTTTCATGGTATACCATTTTAATTAGTAAGCGAATGTTAATGAAATTTGGCACATCATCAGTAAACATTACAATGCTTTCATATGCAAAATATCAAATTTGTTTATTAAGTGTTAAGGTTTATAAGGCAATGTTTTTCTCGTCTATTTTTCTTTTCGCATGTTGCCTATCTATCATGCAAAGTAATTTTCATTTTAAGATTAAAAAATACTTTTATACATCCAAAAATTTTGAAATTTCACATGTGCAATCTTCATAATGTCGACATAGTTATCAAATGTTTCTTAAGAAAAAACTTTATATTTTATCAGTTATTTTCAGTAATTAATCTCTGTACGGGTTTGACAAATTTGACCGATCTAGCAACCACCATAAAAAATTATGCCTTTTTCGTTCTAGAATGACTACTAATTATAACATAAAAATACAAATATTTAGACTAAATAGCTTAAATCTCATAACATTATACATTTATATATATTTATTATATTGACCTTTCACCCATGCCTGACTAACAATACAGAACTTACAATAATGCGACTCACATGCACTCATGTTACCATATCAAATAACATAAAGGTGACCTTTGGTCTTTACATAGTAACTTGTCTTGGCTGTGTTTTAGTCGACAACTATTTTGTAAAATACAGTCACATTTCAATTATTATACATTTTATATGTATGTAGATTATTGCTATTTTGAAATAAGTTCTTAGTTATTTTTCCTAAAACATAAAACAGTAAATAAAGAAATAAAGCAAACAATTATCTCTTCTAGTTACTACCTTTGTACTCGATTGCTGCTTTACATAGGCTGCTAAGCCTTTAAAAATTTGGCACGTGGAGGATATGAAACAAAATGTTTTTTTAGGGCTTTATATATACATTTCAATAACTAAAAATCATAAATTACTACATTAATACCATAGAATTCCACTATAAATTATAAAGCTTAGAAACTAAGATGTATTTTAGTCTAAAAAATATGAAATTTCAAGCAGACTAAAGACACACCCTACCTCGTTGAAATATTGGTTCAAAAGAAAGAAATTGGCACCAAGTCCGTTAAAATGGCTGAGAAAGCCATTAGAGGGACATTTTGAGCTTCCGATTAGTTATTCATGTCATATATAGAAGTAAGTGTATATAAGGGAGCATTTTTGATATTTGGTTCTCTGTTTAAAATTTTAATAGATACATTATGATTTTATTGAGTTGTAATATTTGTAGACATGAGTTGGTAATCTTCAGAAGAGGTCTATCATATGAAACCAAGGGTAATTTAAAAATGTCTTCAAGTTCTTGTTTTGTTTTTTTGCATGTAGAGATGGTGGAATGTTGTTGTTGTGGAGAGCATGTGCTAATCGAGTAATGAACCTATCAATTAAATAACTAGCAAATACCCAGCTCTATTTACATACAACAACATAATTCTAAGCTGGAAGGTAAATCATGAATATCAAAATTCCCAAGGAGAATTTACATATGGGTAATAAATTCTCCATCCTGATCTTGTATGACAATATCATTGAATTTAATTTGTCCTGTATGTAAACTACAATTACACAGAAATTATAAACAGATACAAGTTACATTTTAATTATAATCATGCCTAACAGTTAAGACATTAATCATGTACAATAGTTAGTAACTATTATAATAGGTAATAGACTAGCTACACTCACTAGCCATGATATTAAAAATCCCTACTTATAAGATAGACTAGTCCTCAAATCATGTTTATACAAAGCAGGTACTTACATAATAGAGAAATAAAACCACCAGGAGTCTAAAAATTGTATGAGCATCAACTGTTGCTATAATGGGAAAGATTAAAGATTTACCAAACTTTGAACAAAGTGTTACTGTTGAGGCTTGATTGACAGGTGCCTAAATTGCAAGGATGATTGAGCTGACTGAAAAATCAAATATCACTGTGTCCCAAGCTTACATAACATAATTGTCAGATCAATAATTTAATAAGGGAAACTGGTCAGAAGATGGGAGACAAATATCAAACACTGTTTGGGTTAACAAATGTTCAACTGTGCTAAAATTGATGAATAACTTTAAATATTCAGAAAAATCTAAATCCACAGAACAATGATTAGGGAGCTGTGTGAAATTAACTCTGTGAATGTATATGAAATATAAAACCTTATGAGATATGTGAGTTTTACTGAAATGTTCAGTAAGCAGTCACATTTGTGCTCCTGGTCTAGAAAGGATTAATCAGTATAATTTCCAATCCAGGTAAAGTTGATTGTAATAGACTGCTTACTAACTGCTTGTTCCACAACCTTCTGTGGATTCTCAGTTGAACTGAGATCAGGGGCTGTGAAGGAAAGGTAGAAGTTGGAAATCTTTGAAATCATTGAATCAACCACTAAATTTTTTTTAGCTTTGTGGCTGTTATCATTATTTTACTAGAAGTAACCATCTCCTTTTGCATAAAATTAGAGCACTGTGGGATGAACATGGTCAGCTAGAGTGTTCAAATGATAATAAGAAGAGGAACCAAGTGTTCTACCTCATGCGATGTAAATGAGCCCCATAACATTACACTGCCTCCAGAATTTTGTTCAATGAAGACAATGGAAAATGATTTCATGAATATTGGGTTGTCACCAAACTCTAGCCCTACTGTCTTTGCAGAACAATGTGAAACATGATTCAACTGACAACATTGCACATTTCCATCAGGCAACGACCAATTCCTTTTTTAACTAGACACAAGAAAACTACATAAATCATACAGCATTATTAAGACAAATGGCAAATAATTTTATTTATTTTGTTCAAAAAGCTTTGTTACATTGACAGAAAGTATCTGTATAAAAAATTTCTTATTTTGGGCCTAAAATCTGATTTAAGGTTAGGACTTAAGAAATTCTTTTCTCGGTTATTTTTTGTTTAATGTTTATAAGTTTATATCAGATAAAACTTTCAAATCACAATATATTATGTTAATTATGGCTTCAGCAGGGAGAATGCAATGACATTTTAAAAGTGTAATGTAAAAACCTGTGCTCAAACACTTCTGAAAACCACTAAACTGGAAAAGGTTAAAGAATATTAAAGAATGAAACAAATGCCTATTAGACACCAGTGGAGTTAATTACCTTATATACAGCCTGTAATCAAGGGACATGGTGGCCAAACATGATATTACGTTGGGTATTCTAATATTTTGGCTAGTGAGTCTATAATAACATGTAACATTGAAGCAGCAAGTGTAATCATAAAGCAACTCAATTTATAACACTTTACTTAATAATAACAGTTAGTGACAGCTTTATTCCTAAATGTTCTTTTAATTACTTATACTGTTTTTATTTACTTGAAGAACTTAATACTTCCTTAATTCTGCAAACAAATTTATATTTTAATTGCTTTGTGTGAGGATCAAAGAAATTTTGTGTTAAATACTCACCTTGATAGTTTTGTCTGAAGATCCACTAACAATTCTAGTGTCATCAAATTGAACACAGAAAACTCCTGAAACACACACAACCTAATATATGACAAATTATTGCTGAGTTTGTGAAATCTTTAACTGATTACATTTTCCACCTAGTCATACAAAAATAGATATTAACCTGTACATATAAATATTTATACTATTTTTCACTTTTTTCAGATGAAGTCTCACAATTCTTAAAACATACAAATTACAACTACTTTAAGAATCAATTTGTGATGTTTTAAGTAAAATTATGAAATAAATAATTTTATATTTAATGTAGTTAAATTCATAATTATGTCCACTACTGTGCCATTTGATAAGATTTATGATATTATGATTACAATGTATTATCACATTATATGTACAGTTTAGTTACTTTAAAATTATCGATATGCACATGTATTTTATGACAGCATCAAAATATTGTATAGTTTATTTCAATAAGGATTTTTCACTTAGCACTAGTAATGATGTATTTTGTAAGTATACTTGTAATGAGGTTCAAGTGTTTATCCCTCAGAGTTCCTTACTTTGGTTTAACTGACCTATTCCAAAACTACTGGTTGAAATAGAAATCTGCACATTTTCAAAATCAGTTTTATTCACACACTTACCCTGAGTATGTCCATAAAAGGTTCGAACATGACAAGCACCCTTTAGCCAATTACGGTGAAGACGAAATCTCTCAGCGAAAGCTTGTTTCCAGTCAATCTGACCATTTGGAAGACGATAAGTTATCATTTGCTTTTGTTCTGCAGGACGTGATAGCTGCCACTGTGGTTGTCGGCAAAACCCAACCCAGAGAGAGGGCTCACTTGCTAGGATGCTCCACCTCTGGCATACTTGTCCACATTGACATAAATCCACTACACATATAAAAAAAATATATATATAATTAAACTAGAAAACTTATTTTGTGAAAGCTGAGAAACTTGCATCTACTAAGTGATATAATTATTATTGGGTTTAAGTCATACACTGACTGGTCACCTTGTTAGGACTATCCAAACATATATATAAAACACTTCACTTACTTGCTTATGAAACAAAGACACAGTCATTTAAGACATCATGTTCAGATACTGCTTATTCCCCATAAAAGCAGACATAGTTATATTATGAGCACTCTACTAGACAACATGTATGAGCAGGGCTCACTCTTAACCTTTTTTTTAGAGCCAGCCAAGCCCCCAAAACTTGCATTTTTAGGGCCTGGCAGGTAGTTTTAGGGGCCAATTCTATAGCTAATTGTAAAATGTACTCTATAGTAGAAGTTATCAGAAAAATCTCTGAACTAATTAGTGGATGTTATGTAAATTGAAAGGAAACTCAAGATATCGACATATCTCAATTTATTTTGTTGTGAAGTTGTATTTCATGAAAAAAAAAACACGAGTCATACCATTTCATTTTTCTTCATACCACTTAAATGATTTTTATTTCATATATAACCTTTAATTTCTCTCTAATGCATGGTATAACAGTAACATTTTGCTCCACATTAAGTTCTTGGGATCATACGCCATGTGGCTCCCTGTTAGTACGGCAACATACTGTGTATTAGCTCATTGTATGGGGAGGTCACCAAAAGAGTGCATGACAATGGAGTGTTTGGAAATTTGGAATGTCCCATTACTTTCCAAAAGGGGGGTTGACAATTGTTTGAATTGTACATGTCACTTTTGGAGATGTCACAATAAGTTGAAACTGGTAAACAGGTATATACAAATATTAGGTCATCAAGAAATTAATGTTGCATTTTGGAACACTTTCATTAACCACTCCCCAAGAAATGTACATCACATATAATAGTTAAACAAACTGCATAAATGTCACGTTAGTGTAGCCAATATAATGTGTAAAGCTTAGTATACTCTAATCCCTTATAGTGATGGCACATGATGAGACACTCAATCGGCATGTAATGCCGTTTGACACAAGAAGGGAAACAATGGCTGTGTAGCCACAAAGAATATTAAAGAAGTTTATGGATATGTTTTGAATGTTCGTAAGTGTCAACGATGGTTCAATAAATTTCGTTCAGGTGACTTTAGCCTCAAAAACTGTGATGGCAGGGGCCAAC